TTTCAGCTTTCTAGCTTTTCGTGTCCCCGAGTTATCAATTTTCGCGCCAAAACTTTCACGTGCTCGTACGCAGGGCCCAGACGTGCGAGAGAGTTGATGCTGCGGTCCTGGGGTGGCACTTGGCTGGGGAATACACTGGAAAATTTCAGCCTCAAAGGTTGCGTGCTTGGCGAGTTGAAACACCCACTGACAGGGTCGTTGCAATATGCGTTTTTACTGTCTGTTGCAGCGCTCTAGTGCTGCACGGCAAAAACGCATAAAAACTGCTGGCTGCATGGCTGGATAACGAAGCTGTAGAATGCATTTCGTTCAAGAATCAAAGCAAGCACCTCGACGGGATTACTGAAGAGTAGCAAGCCGATAGCGTAGCCGCTAAACATAAATACGATGCAATTGGCCCAGTAGCCGAATGTTGTCCAAATTTGTAAAGTCAGTTCCACACTTTTTGGATTTAATCTTTCTCTGGAAAGCTTGTATTTCTCTGTATAGAATGTAGAAATTTTTAGAAATTGCCTTTCGCTTGTCTCTCGCTGTAGAAATTTCCTTCGCTATAAAATGTTTAGTGTATATCCCCAGTTTTGAAAATTTATAAATCAAAGTCAAAAACCCCACAGTATTCGTGCTCTGTGGGAGCCGGAGGCACTCAGGAAGGAGCGTGAAAGGAGGCGAATGCAGTATTAACTCACTGATTAGACCCTCGATGGCTCGGTCCTTTAGAAGTTCCATACTCAAGTCAATGATAGGTTTGACCTCGTGACGTATGTCAGTACCAATTTATTACCGAAGTAATGAATAAATCGTAGAGCAGTTGGTTGTCCCACTGGCAACACAAACAAATTCCTGACGGACAGCAGCGCTACTTCCTCAGCATTAAACCCACCACCAATTCGTATTTATAAAATATTCAATCAACAATGGTAAAATCACCTAAGATAGTTCAATGTAACACCGTAAAAGACGGTCGCAACTGCCGCCGAACCTCGCGTTACCTCACCCAACTGCCAAACGAAGTAAACCGAAATCACCAAAAACATCTAAAAATGATATAGAGTCAGTTCGGCAACACCGAGTTGCGTTACCATCAGAACAAACGTTATTTCTTGCAACACGTAGTGTGCAAAATACGGTTGCTAATCAAAAAATATTTTCGACGGATGGAATAAGGTCGCTAATCAAAAAAAAATATTTTCAAAATATATATTTCCCTGACTGGTACTTACTAGATAGCGAAATGCACCAGGACAGCAGGTGCGATCATGAGTTTTGCGTGACTCTGCCTCGCGGATGTTTGTTTGCAAAGAATTTTCTTTGTTTTACAAGTATGGTTAGGCGCTAAATTTGAGAGCTGCAGGTAATTGCATCGGCAGAAAAAATAATTCTGAAATTTTCAGTGTCCCGGCTTTCTCGGCTTCCGCGATAATTTCCCTTGCTAAAATTTTCACGGCGCCGTAGATGAAAACCAGATGTATGTGAAAGCTAAATTTGACTTGCGTACGTGGGCAAGGAATACTCTACCAAAATTTCAGCCATCTAGTTTTTGTGGCTCTCAAGTTGAAAGTGCGGGACAAAGTGCACTCGGGCAGATATACACACACGCAGAGAGGAGCGTGAAAAAATGCGCTTTGTGCTGCTGTTACACAACGCAAAATAAAAAACTGATCACGCAGACTGCTACCAAGGAAAAACCAAATGAATACGATAGGAAATGGTAGGTCGAGATGAATACGTGCAATTCCGGCTCAAACTGGAGAAAAATTCCTGGCCTGCGGGTGTTCTTAGTAACGTCGCAGCTTTACAAACACAGTCTGAGAGATGCTGCTAATTGAGAAAGCAGCTAACTCAGACAGTTCCGAAGCTGGATGCACATGTGCCTGTTACAGCTTATGCTGAGCAAGCAGTACAGAAAGGCTTTGATCCAACAGCACCGGGAGTTCGATGAGGAAAGTAGGAGCTGGCTGCATCAGCTTTATGCAAGCATCAACGACTAAGCATGTGTTCTTTTCGGAATGTCCAAAAATTCGCCATAAGTGCGCTCCAGCAAAATCTTGCGAGGTGTATGACCTGGATCCTTTTCTCCTCGGTGATACCGTGGCGGATGATCAATATGGACAGATGAGCGCTTGTATAACCCAGTACCGGCGATATAACGACACAGCTTATGCACATTGCCACATAATGCACTAAGGTGTATGGATATGATGGCAAATTCACTTCTTTCTGCAAAGCAACAATCATTAAGCCTCGTTTTTCTGCAAATATTTGAAGCATTCCAGAATATGAGCTAATTAGGCGGGATCGCGGCAAGCACTTTATTCAATTTCAGGAATGAAGTTTAGCAACAGCTCGAGCTTTAAAGAATGGCTCGGGTCCCATAGCAGTGGACCAGCTTCTCCCTACTTCATGAAGAAACGCATGCTGTGCAAAGTGCTGGATGCAGCCGTTTTTTATCGACAGCTATCTTTTGGAAAACAGGTTAAATGAGATTAATGTAACTTCTGACAAGTATCAGTAAGTGCCAATTCATTTTCGAAATGATACTACTCACACAACATAAGAAAATACCGGGATCGCATTGGACACGAGTTAATAATTAAGGTGGTGCAAGCAGTCCAAAATGTACCCATGCGCAACTGTCAGGCGATTCCTGCGAACTATTGCCGTGCCAAGACCGTCCGAACAATTGCTGCGAGTATACCGTGTTACAGGAATGCTTGCGCAAGTTAAGCGCAGTGAAAGTAGGTCCTTGGATTCTTTTGATCTAATGGCCCTTTCTCTGGTAGGTCTGGCTAAAGCATAACGACTAACAAGGACAAAATTGAGCAGAATTTGATAGATGAAAATAGCCAAGCCATCATTAAGCAGTGATTCCCCTTCCACCAGTATTCTGATACGTTGCGGAGCACCAATATCTTCAAGAATCGCCACCACTGCTACTGGATCCGTTGCTGCGAGGATTGCACCCATTAACATTACCTAAATCATTAATTTTTATCAACCGTATTCTAGAAATTTGAATACTGATCATAACGAAAATTCCTGCCGGCACTTCAGCCATCAGCGAGGAAAAGTTATGCGTATGGGACAGAAAATAACCACTCTTGCAACCTTCGAACAACCGTTAGGGGGTTGCAGGAGTGGTATTTTGAAAAAGAACTGTCATTTTCGAACAACATGAGTGATGAAAAAGACAGCCTACAACGATTCCTTTCCACGTGTTAACATATTTGTCCGTATGTGCGGGACCTCATCTCATTACTTACTACATGCTAGTTCTTCAATGGTTTATATCTGCAACGTTATCTAATGTAGTCGATAGCTATGTCATTTATTTCGGCCTTAGACTCGTCATCTTCATAGAATACCACAAATTCAAACACAATCAAAGTAAGAAGCTCCGCCATTTTGCTTTGCAAGAGAAGAGACATTTGAAATAGCATGAGTAGAAGTGAATGCCAGCATCAAGCAGAACTAGCAAAACGACTGTCGAAAGCTCTCTCTCTTCGAAAGGTTGTTAAGAGGGAAGCTGATGGTGAATTTGACTTCCCGGCACATGCCGATACCAATTCACTATCACAACGAATGAACGAATGGTAGAGAAAATGATTCTATTGGCCAACTTCAATCCCTGATTTTCTGTAAGAAAACAGCACTACTACATCATATCCGCCAGCATCGTAGTGTAAAAACGACGGATTGAACCGGAAAGAAGACTGTTAACCAAATGGTGATTGAGATCCGTCGCACTATCGGGTTCAACTTGCTAAGAGGTAATGCCTTTCGACACAGAATGCAAGATTCGCTTCCACACTTTATCTTTTCAACCAGACATCTTCAGTCGTGCAAATAACAAGTAGTAGTAGTAGTGCTAATGTGCCACAGTGGCAGCCCAAAGAAATACTAAAATCCAAACAAACTGAAACACACCATAGGCGTAGCACCAAACAAAGAACTGCATAAGCTTAAACGGGTTACAGGACAAAATCCTAAATTAGAAGATTTAGAAGAGCTGAATATCCTTTAACCTTCACTGAATTTCCAGAAAATTTTGTCTGCCATGCAAACAATAACCTGGAAAACTTCGATTTTTGGACAGAAATGCCTGTAAGATTTTTTCGTAACAGAAGTAACTCAAGAAAGAACAATTTGGTATAAATGTACTGGCACGCACCTTTGTCTTGGTTGCACTCGAACCACACAGGTTGATCTAAGGCTAACTCCTTTACTTACTGAACACCTTGCCGTTAACTATTCACAACTTAGTCGAAAGCGTGCCGGCTGCCCGGCACGAGGATGCGTTTTTTGCACAGTTCCCCTGCAGGTTTTTTCGCCACTGGCACGTTCTTCCCGGCAGATGCTTCTAGCTAAAAGAAATGGGACTGGCCACCACGACTGTTAGAAATTATTACAATGACTCCCAATCCATGCGCAAAAAATTGAGCGCTGTGGATGCTCCGGCTGCGGAGTTACCATTCATTCATGCGTGGGTGGAGCGTGAATGACTTTTTTGCCTGCAGTTGCTCAAATACGCTCCTGGGTAACGCCCAGAAAGTTTCAGCACTCCAGCTGCTCTGGTGCAGAGTTGCGTCAAATTCCACGTGTTCGTACGTGGGTGGCAACGAGGATGCTTTCTCCGCCCGCGCTTGTTCAAATACGGACCCGGGTAACGCTCAGAAAGTTTCAGCAGTCCAGCTACTCTGGCTGCGGAGTTACGTTGAATTTCACGTGTTTACACGTGAAACGTACATGAGACGTGAAAGTTATGTGTAATTCGTTTTTGCGTGCATCTGGTCAAAAGCCACCGCCGGTTATGCTCAGAAAATTCAGGTCCTCTGGCTGGTTTAATTCTGAAGTTACAAAAGCGCATGCGTGAAATTTTCACGTGTTCGTATGTGAGGTGCAGAACAGCTGACAAGTAATTTACTTTCACGGACACAACAATAGGCGACAAGTAACGCTGCAAAATTGCAGCTCTTTGTAGCCTACTGGCCAGCTTAAGTCTGGAGTTGGCATGATGCCAGTTTAAACTTTGACGTGTGCGTACGTGGGACTTGGGGTGCGTGAAGGCTGAGTTTGAAAACTTCGGATTAGGCGCGGCCCAGGAACAACTCTGTGAAGTTCCAGCCTCCTAGCGTGGGCCGTTCCCGAAAACGTTTTCCCGCCAAAAAACTTTCACGTGCCTGTAGTGAGAGCCGCGCAGAACCAGGCGCCCATTTTGAGGATAAGGGCTTCCACGTATGTATAGATTAAGTCACCAAAGTTTCAGCCTTGCAGCTTTTGCGGATCTCGGGATAAAAACTCGTTACAGACGTACACACAGACATACACACGTACATACATATACACACACACAGACAACCCCTCGACAATATGCGTTTTTGCATTGCATAGCTGCAAAAAACGCAT